TATATATATATATATATATATATATATATATATATATATATATATTTGCCCTTATTTATTATATTATGATATTTTACTTTTTATGTTATTACTTATATTTATTTACGTTTCAGGGGAGAGATAATCGTGAGGCGCGTTTACGTGGTAGTAGCGGCAACGTATCGAAGCAAGCTCAGTCGGATGTAGGGAACGAAGATTGGGAAACTACGTCGGAGAATAGCGAGGAGCACGTGGAGGATCACAAGGAATCGCGCAACAGTCGCAACAAGCACTTCGGTGGACGAGCTATTCAAGGCGCGAACCAAAACGCCATTGGCACAAACGCGCACTCGCGCAGAAGCGAACAGTCGACGAACAACCGAGAGCAACGTGAAAAAAGCACCAAGTCTTCCAATCCGGCGTCGCGAGCTCCTGGTGCAGAGAAGCGGAATCTGCAGAATGCCGGATTCAGCGCCCAGAAGAATCACACCGATAGTATACCACCGTTGATGCAAAATGCGCAAGTGCAGAATGGCGGGAGGTCTAGAAGTCAAAGCTCGACCAACAACGGCACGATCTCGAGTAAGTCGAGTAATAAGGACAGCATGGTCAATCGTATCGACGAGATCAAGCTGGCCGATCCGAACCTAGTGAATCAAGCTTTGAGCGACCTCAGCAAGAAATCTCAGACGAAGGACAAGAAACTAATTGATCCCGAGGTCGAGACGAATAATTGCACCGAGGATACCGCGAATGCCTCGGAGGATAAATTGGACTCCGACGGTTTCCAGGAGGTGCGGTCGAAGAAAAATGTGAAGGAGTCTAGACACAACCAGAAGGAGGAAGCGAAACCCTCCGCCAAAAGAGATAAAGAGAAGGAGCGCGAGCGTGATCGTTCGAAATCGAAGACGAACGGTTCGCAGCAGGTTTTGCAGCAGGTGCAAAACATACCGCCCTTACTCGGCCAGAATATCCCCCAGCCGGTCAACATGCCGCAGAAGCAGTACGACAATAGAAACTCGAGGAATCCGAGACTTGCTCCGCGATTCCAACGTCTGGTGAAGCAACAGCAGCAGCAGATGTGCTCGACCGACGCGAGCGATCTGAACAAGATGAATAGTTCCGGCAACAACTATGTCAAAGACTCGTCCAATAGCCCGGCGCCTCCGCCGCCGGTTAACGCGTGGGATAAGCCTTTCACTAGCCAATTACGCTCGAATTCGCCATCTGCAGTTCCTACGGATATCCAATTGATGTCCGGTTTAACAGCTCAAAATGATCACAGCCACGAAGGCAATGAGGCTAATTCCGGACACAGTAGCCAACGAAATTCGCCGAGTGGCGAGAAGACTAACAAGAATCTAAAGGAGACTCTGGCGGAGAAGAACGTGTCCGACGTGTCTTCGCCGCCTGTACAAACCTTGATTTTCGAGAACACAAATTATTCCAAGACCACCAAGACAAGCGGACCCGCGGATCTGGCGGTCAAGTCGAAGTTCTCAAATCACATCAAGACGCAGCAACGAGCCGAGAAACGCGCGGAAATTGAGGAGGACGGCAGTCAGGTGCAGCAGCACCAGCAGCAGACGCTTTCCGTTGCGTTCTCCAATAAGCCGAATGACTTGATAAAGGACAAGAATCAGGAACCGATCCAGATGCCATTGTCGTTCAACAAGAATGAAGATAACGCCGATATGAAGTTAGACTTCACTTTCGACTCTGATCTTTCGCAATTGACAGATGACAAGAGCAAGAGCCTCGGTATGGCACGCTCCATGCATATGGCCGGCGGTCAAAGCACGATATCGCCGTCGACCGCGGAGCTCAATCTCAAGATCGCGTCCGTAAAGAAAGTCTGGGAAAATGCGACTCCGATGCCGACCGTTGTGGAACACGAGGATGGTAGTGTAGTCAGTAATGCGACTAGTTTCCCGCAGGCGTTCGAGAGCGGCGACGTCGACGACAGTTACAGCCCGCACCAGCAGTACAATCAGAACAATATGAAAAGCGAAATCACAACGTCTACGAATGTATGCAAGGTGAGAAAATTTTATTTTGCGATAATTCGCTATTATATCATGCATGTAGTAGAATTATTGTAACTTTAAATTTTAATATTTTCTTTATCTCATTCACTTGCATTATTACTATTATTATAATTCACTAGTTTTCTTTTAAGAAAAATATATTTTTTATCATTTCAGGTCTTTTTCTCTCTCCTAGTATATATTTTATTATTTTCAGTTGTTTTTATTATTATTATTATTATACCGTTGTCATTATTATTATGACTACCATTCTTTATTGTTTATCATGAGACAAAATAAATGATGAAGAACAAGTTTGTTAAGAGAGAATAAGTTTGTATTTTCACTAGATTCTTCAAGCAAATTTGAATACTCTTATTTATTAAGAATGGTTGTTGTGACAATTATATATATGTATACGTACATGTGTATATATATGTACACATAATGTATACATATATGTAGTAATTAAATATTGAAATACAATGTCCCTTGTGGGAAGATGCTGACTCTTTGCCTGATGCGCAGCTGGTTCCCCCGCAGGTGAAGCCGCAGCAACAATCTTCGGGGAGCAGTGGCACACAACCAGGATCTACAGTGCCCGGACCAAGTCCCATCGGAGCTGGTCAAAGTCCTATTGGCCATCCACCCGTTAGTCTCCAAGGTCCTCTAAGTCCACCTCCATTCAATTCTACAGGCCAACCTTCGCACATTAACTATCAAGTGCGTTACATATTTTTATCGTTTATATTCTTTTACAAACTGAACCAGATGAGCAGCATACTGAGAGGAATGATCTGTTTTATTTTTAGGAATTCCCACAATATCCTGGCTCACAAGCAGCGCAATATGGCAGCATGTCAGCTATACCATCGCCACCGGCCGTGTTGTTCAACACAGGTTCAGGACAGCTACCGGCACAAGCAGGCGGTTTATATGGAGCTTTTCAATTGGATCAAAGCAGATCACCATTCACGCAGTATCCACCTTACGCTCCGTCTCTTCAAAGCTCGTTCAGCCAACAAAACGTGTACTTGCAGCAACCGCCACCGCCGCCGCCTCACGCACCGAATGCTCCCACACCGGAAATGTATCAGAGCAATTTGTCACAGTACCGCATTGTACGTTTGTTTTCACATCCTCTCTTTTTAATAATTATTTTATTGGCATTATAATATGAATTGTATATGCAACGAAAGTAATATTTGTTACTATTCCATTCTGGAATAACAAAAACTTGAATTTTTTGTTCAACTCTGCAGACTGCGGCTGCTGCTCCTCCCTTTGGACAGAATCAGCAACTCAGTAACAATCCCAATACGGTACTTATCAGTTCGTCGTCAAATTCTTTGATGTCGGCCAGCGTGAAACCCTCTTCTCAACAGATTGGTGCTATTGGAACTAAAGCGCCACATTTTCAGACCCCATCGGCTCCTCAACCAAATCAAGTACGATTTCGATAGCGATATTTTATGATATAAATTTTGTAGTACTTATGAGCATATCGATAAAAAATGATTTCTTTTAGTTGACTTACATACCATACGATCCGAATCAAGTACTCGGTGTAAGTGGCAGTTACATGGGCAATTCGCAGTTAGTACAAAGACCCGGTCCAAATGTTCAAGCGTCCGCTAATAGTTACTACAGTGCTACATCTGCGGGTAAATTTAATGTTTTGTTATAAATATACATCTCGCGCGCGCGAGTTATATACATTAGTCTCATATCTATCCTCTGCCACAATCGTGGTATTTCCAGATGTGTTTCCGGGCTCGCAAACAGGTTTTTATCAATCCGGCGGCGCTACTCAACAAACTGGTACGCACTACGGTCTGCAAGGATTCGGTCAGCATAGTCAGAGTTTGGCGACGGGTAGTGCAACTCCGGTCGGTCTGCAGAACTATGGTCCTGGATTCTTGTCGAGTTCGGGATTGCAAATAGCTGCAGCTGCTCAACAATATCGCAATCCTACTGGCGGTTTACCAGGACCAGGGAATGCAGCACCTACGTTTCTTAGTAAGCACCAACCGCAGGAGCAGCCCCGGCAATTGAAGAGCCCATCGGGAAATCAACAGGATGTGCTTGCTTCAGTTTTTAGCTCAAGTAAGTGTATTATCAATTCTAAAAGTAGTTGAAACAAATAACTTTGTCCAGTGAAAAGTTATTGCTTGGTAAATAGGTTTCGTATAATGCGTTACATTGAACTAATGTTTTAATTACAGCGCCTCAAATACCGTCACCTAAATCGAGGAATTGTAAACAACAATCCTCATCACAACAACCACAACCAAGTCCTACGCAACATCACAAGTATCCACAATATCAGGGCGTTAGTCAGTCTGCTCTGGTAAGCAGCTACAATAACTACGTATGTACCATTTATTCATTAAAATTATCTCATTATTATTGTTATTACAATTATATATTATGCATGTAACTTTCTGATAAATTCTCTATAAATTACTTATATAACGTAAAAAGAATTTTTCCAAAACAATAAAAGATAAAATCTTTATTAAATGGCATCTCTATAACGAGTCCTGTATTATACAAAAAATACAATATGTTATAGTTATTGCAACAAAATTTTCGAATAAAAAATGTGTAAACAATTTTTTTTTATTAAAAAGAACATGATTATATTTGAAATGACAACAAAAAATGTGATATATTTGTCTTTATCTAATAAAAATTGTATAATTCTACAATTTATTACTGCACGTATATCTACAGGTTTTGCAACAGAATGTGCGTGGAATGGGCATGCCACCTCGTGCAGGCCTTCAACAATCACAGCAACGTTATCCACCTCCTATACAACGACCTGTAGTACCATTTGCACCAGGTCCAAATAATCCCGCGCAACAGCAACCTACTTGCATGCCTACGCAACAGCAGCAGCAGGCTCAAATCAACCGTCACAGACCGAATTTACATCAACAACAGCAACAACAACGCAACATGAAGATGCAACAGCAATATTACTCACCGCAAGGTAGGTAGCTAAAAACAATACTGATATAGCGAAGCTATAAATGTATATAATTGTATACAATTCTTATATACATATATGTGATATATATGTGATATATATACATATATGTGATGTATAGCTATACATCTCATATGCATATGTAGCTATATGTGATATGATTTATGGACGTTGTTATAATTAATTTAAAAATGACAGTTGTTTGTACTTCTCTCTAGGAAACGTCAAGATGGATTCAAGTGACAAAGCTGATAACCACAACGACAAGATGAACGATGGTCCTTCTGGAACACAAGCCGGGGCTAACAAGTCTAATGTGAACCAGCAAGACAGTGATAACAATAAGGAAGAAGTGAATCAGCAAAACGAGTGAACGTGAATATAGGTGAAGGTGAACACTCTTGTTCTTCCATTCATGGAAAAACATCTATCTTCGATTAAACATTTGATATAATCTCGTCGACAAGGGCAAAGACTAACGTGCTTTCTTGTTTTCCGAGAAAGAAAGCGCGCGATGTCATACGATGGAATTCGTTTAACTACGAAATCACGTGCTTATATAATCGACTACCAGTTAAATAGATTAAACATTTGATTTTCGTGCTGTATCGAAGGAAAGGATTTATAGGAAGGTAACATTATTTATACGCACTTCCTATTCTTTAGTTGTGTAACGGCATAAACTTTTCGTCTCTGTGAATTCGAAAAGACCTTTATTAAGCATTTCCACTATTAAACGATATCGAATATACGTGAACATATTTAAGAATGACAGAGTTAATCATGAGCGTTGATACCGCTATGGGAAAGCTTGAGAAGGTGGCATGATTAAATTGTCGCGTTACACGTTTGAAAATGACGTTTGAAAACTTGACTCAAGAAAGAAACGTGCTGTCGTCGAATGGAATGATAATCGATCAATTACAGACGAAAATCGTCATAAAAAAAATATTCTTCTGTATTGATGTACGATAAGAAGTTTACGTTTTCGTGGAGTTGTATCTGTGGAAAGTGAGTGCACAGACTTTATTGTATGTATATATATGTATATGTGTATATATATATATATGTGTGTATATATATGTATATATATATGTATATGCATATATCTCTCTGTACCCAGATCAGGATCAGTTTGCAGCAAGACGGCAATACACGTCCTAGGACGCACGGCGCACGTTTTCTTGATCACGTCGCAAAGAAGATTTAGAGAAAGAGAGTGTAAGGAAACAGTTCGTGAATGGGTTACGATTATCGCAATTTCATAATATAGTAACGAAGGAACTGATGAAATGTGCGGCGGTATAAATGTTCCCCGTTTATCCGAACAATAAGGAAACGAAATGACACTTACCGATTATGAACATACGGATCTACGCATGCCTATGTCGCACCTATGTATCGCGACAAGGGACAGCTCCATGTATATTGATCGTTTTGTCGATGATGCAAGGTCATGGTGAAACTTGTGCGACGAAATAGAAAACTGTTGTTTATAGATATCGCACAAATCATCATGATCTAGCTTTACTCACGACGAGTATCAATCATTAGATATATAATATAAGATATTGCTTGTGAAGCGCGCGCGTGAAAGGTCATTAGACGGATAAAACGTTCGGAAACTTTTCACGCCTAGACAGATTATATTGGACAACTGAACCGCAACCTATACTATCGCAACGTACGAAAAGGAAAAAAAGAATTGTATATTCTCTGCTTTCGTTGCAGTTAAAGCTTTGTTATAAAGATAAAGCCCATGAAAATAAATAGTAGTATTCACAGGATACTATCGTTGCCCGATTTATTGAGCAAAGATAGCGTGGCTATGCCCGTCTCGCCCGGTTTTCGAGAGGAATTTAGGCAATGTTGAGATAATCGGATGTCAACCATCAACAAAAACCACGATAACTGCCAGTCGTACTGACGACCACTATCCTTGAACTCTGAGAATTTTTCATGTCGTATTCGTGATATGTCTGTGTGAATAGTGAAACATGTATTAGAAGAAGAGACACTTAACACCCATACGTAGGCTTGTTAAAAATTTAACACACTTCAATGAATTTAGGGAATATCGACTAGAGAAAGGATAAACTTGCGATTATCCCCTTTTATCCTGTTATCTTTTCTCCGAAGCGTTGAGAATTTCAAGAAAATTACTAAAAAATGAATTTAATGTAAATTAACATGAAGCCACGATATGTGAATTATAAAAATGGCTGCAACTCTTTTGTTGTTATAAAGATATATTAATTCTTGATGAAGACTATCTGAGTGGTGTGGGCAACATATACAATATTTTAGAAAAGAAAAAATGTTGTGTTGCAGTCTCAAAGATATGGAATTAGTAGTAAATGCTTCTCTCTTATGTTATCATCTTAATTTTCTAGTACTCGTTTGGCATTACTGTTGTAATTTATTCTTAAAGACGTATAAATATCAATATCACTAATATGATTAATTTGATATATGTAAAATACATGTTTTTATGTAAACCATTGAAACTTTGTCTGAGACCAAGATCTAGTGTATTTATATCTTTAAAAACATGCTCATCTTTTTTGTGTTATTTTAATGACTGATTATATTAAATAATGGTACGGTGTACGCGAGTACTGGAAAATCGAGTTCTATCCTAAGCATTAATCACCGCGATCGCTATTACCACTTCGATCATTAGCATCACCAGCAGTTGGATCATTATCAGCAGCATTGTAACAGTAGTGTAGGAGTAGAAGTAGCAGTGGTAATAGTTGGTGTTTACGGAGTATGCGCGGTTGTAATAATGATAGTATTAATAATAATAGCAGCAATAGTAATTGCAGCGATAATAATAGTAGCGATACCACCAATCACCACAGCAGTAGCATTATGATAACGTTCATCTCAGTGTCTTTCTTAATTTTAATTGAAACATTTCTGATTTATCTTTATTGATGTTCTTATCACTTTTTTTTATCTAACATGCGTATCTCCGAAGATAGGGAGAATATGCCATTATTATTATTGCTATCATTGCTTATCGCTTTCGCCGTTATAATCCCTTCATTATTTTATTATCGTTTTAACTTATTATTTGTGTTCTATTTTCTTCACTATTACTGTTATAATTGGTTTGATTTATCACCGTTGCTATTATCATATATACACATACATTACTATATTATTATTATATACTATCATCATCAAGGTCATTATCATTTAGTGCTGCTATGGTATTATAGTACTACCGTTATTATTACTATTACCATTACTCTGCTATTACTATTATTACTTAATATTTACTATTACTACTTACTGTTACTACTATTACTACGGTCATTTTCTATTATTACTACAACTACCACCACTGCAACAACTTTATCACTATTACCATTAGTACGACTGCTACTATATATTGTTTTATATTATTTTAATTATATTATTTTTATTATTATTATATAATTATGGTTATTATTAATGCACGTGTACACTCAATGGATGATGACGGTGAAGAATAGGATAAAAAAAAGTAAGTAACTGTGGATAAGTATGTTAAATTGTATGGGTATGTCTCACACATAGGGTACTCGACAAATTTTATTAAAGATATTAAAAATCTGTTTAATAGCATCTATTATAGCTTAACTGCGACGTGATGGATTTTGTTGATATCACAGTTGATGGTCTGTCGTATTACAATATAATCGCTTATATAAAAAAAAAATAATTTAATATTTAAATAATTATAATATGGCCATGTTATAATTTATAAGAATGTGATATATATTTATGCAATATCGTATTTATGATTTTTTTTTCATGTTCTTGTGCTCTTATTTTTCTTTAGCAAACAGCAAAAGTATTAAATAATATCTTTTCGATTAAGATTATTCTTATTAATAACGACATGAAAATTGTTGGTTTATTTTATTATAAAGACGAAATTATAAAGTAAAATACTGTACATTTTCTTGAACATTTAATATCTTAAGTATTAACGTGAAAGAGAGCTTAAAAGTAATACGACAGATCTGTTTACCTATCGCAGGCCGTCTGTAATTATACCGATCTGTAGTTAGAAATATGACGAACACTACTTATACATTTACGTGCTAAAACGTGAAAATAAAATAGTAAACGGCAATTTGCTACTATTAATTTGTGCAGTTAGTTGATACAACCCAACAAATCTGTATAGGTGAGAAGAGATTAATAAAAAGCTTTAATAATAAAGAAGTGTAAGATGTTTGTGTAAAATTACATTTCTATAAAAGAACGCAAATTTTGATCTAATTTAATTATTATTCAATCTAGCTAAGTTTTTTTTTTAATAGAGGTAACATTGTCTGATAGCAATCTTGATGAATATAACAGTGCATTTGCATAATACAGAATAATACATAAAAATTAAACGATAATGGATACGTGAAATACTTGTTTATCACAATGTTTGGAAAAGAGTAACCTTTGTACTTTATTGAACTAAAAAAAATCAATATATTAAGATGATTGAACTTTTAAAGAACAAGTCACATTTGGCCTAATCTAATGCAAATATAGCATTATATTTTAAACATGTTGAGTTTGAAAGAAACACTCGTGCAACTGAAGAAATTGGATAGAACTGGAGCAGCATGGAATTGCAAATCTGGAGAACTAGTAGAGGTATGTATAAGTCAACTAGTATAAAAATAGAAAGAAAATAATTATATGATTTAGTTAAAACTTAATAATTTCTCAACAATCAATTATAGTATACTTTAATGATATTATTTTGATCTTAATAAAAAATAAGACATCTATGTTTATTTCTATGATTGTGTAATTACTTATATTTTCCTGTGATTTTTTTTTATTCGCACGTTCAGAAGACATTAGCAATTTTCTGTTATCGTGATTTCCATTGATACACGTGCAATGGTGCCCAAGTACACCGAGAATCGATAATTATTTTTATTTATGTAAAGTCATGTAACGTGTATATTCTCGTTTTATTAGAGAATCAGTAGAATGCTACCAATATTCTGTTCCACGCTATTATTTTAATTATTATTAAATTCTAAATAAATTATGTTGTTTGAACACATGGCTGAGCATATATGTAATTTTCCTTTACCTCTACCAACATCCCCGATGTAAAAATATTCTGTTTTATTATTAATAAGTCAATATAATGAAATAAAACATTCAATGTTACCGTATACTATTTGAAAATAAATTACATATATAGAAATATATATACGAAGATAACGATTACATGAAAATTAAAAAATCCTTTCCTTCAATCACAAACAATATTGAAAATTCTACAAGCTGTAACTTCCGCAAAAATAACAGTAATGAGGTAAGCCGAGAAGCATTTTACAGCTGAAAGACTCCAATTTTCAGATATATTGTTAAACATATAGAAGATTTAATTTATTTTTACAATATATACGTTTTTAAATAAAAATCTATCAAATATAAAAATCTTTAGTAAATTTTATCGAGTTACACTATGTAAACAAGAATTTATAGATAAATAACATTTATGCCATTTGAAAGTATGAATCTTCTCCTTTAATTTACATCAACGAAAATTGCGGTACGATTTTCTTTTACCGAATTATTTAATGTTAAAGGAGAAATGACACTTTGAGTTTAATCACTTACAGCAGGCGAGTAAAACGGTGTGCAATGTTCACTCAACAATGAATAAAAAGCTAAAAGTTCCCTTTTTAAAATACACTTATCATATTTTTAATAAAAATAACTTTAGTATAAAAACTTGATTAAAAAATGCGATTGAATTTGAATAGTCGCCATTTTTCATTTAACTCGATATATTTTATCTACAAGCGTTAGTAACATTATAAAGTTAATATAACTAAAAAATATATACATTAATCTTTAAAATGTTTTTTGAGCCATTTTGCTATTGTCATTTTTGCGAAAATTATAGCCTGTTAAGTTCCACATATGTTTTAATATAAGAGAAAATCTGACCCGTTGTTGAGAATATATCTATCATTATCTCAATTGTTCTATCTATCACTATCTGCGTTTTTTTTTTTTTTAATTATGATATTATATATAGCCTTTAAGTACAAGCTTATTTGGCCTAAACTACTTACAGTCTTTATTTTCCTTACCCTATCTAACATTGTTTTCTTATTTCTAAGACATGTGTATAAGAATGTCTTAAGTTATCTATTTACATCTACTGTTTGGAGCTTGCTTGACCTACTTCTATCCTTGCCGCTCGTATCGTCTCCCTTCTTTGTTTTTTCTTCTGTCTTTGAAAATAAAATGTTTGTTTTCTAATTTCTTATTTGTCTTATTTTGCTACCAACTACCTGCGTTGGTCGATGTGTACGGTGGCGGCTCGTAGCGGAGACTTCGGAACTAAAAGTCGACAGAAATAACGGGTCTAATAATACCTTAAGGCCAAGTCACACTAGCGATTGGCGATTGACAATTAAAGATTAGATTTTAACAAATCAACAAGCTTCAGCCTTGGCTTGCTTTGTTCCAATTGCTCAAGTTCCAATCTTCAATCGTCAATCATCTATCGCCAATCGTTAGTGTGATTTGGCCTTTAGACCCGTTATTTTTGTTGATGTTTAGTTCCGAAATCTCCGCTACGAGTCGTCACCGTACACATCGACCGTACGAGTAATGATAGATTTGAGGTAGTAATAGAACAAGTAGTGATACAGGTAGTGATACATTTAAGTAGATCACATGCATTTTTTCCTTACATTAAAAGATGCAGAATTCAACGGGTTATAATTTCCGCAAAAATGACGATAGCAAAATAGTTTGAAAAGCATTTTAAAAATTGCAGTCTCTACTTTTCAGACATATCAAATTCATAACGTTATTACCGTTTGTAGACAAAATACATCGAATTAAATGAAAAATGGTGACTACTCAAATTCAACCGCATTTTTCAATCAAGTCTTTACACTGAAAAGTTATTTTTATTAAAAATATGATAGGTGTATTTTAAAGAGGAAACTTTTAGCTTTTTATTCATTGCCGAGTGAACATTATATATCATTTTGCTCGCCTGCTGTAAATAATTAAAGTCAAAGTGCCATTCCAAATTTAATATTAAATAATTCGGTAAAAAAAATCGCACCGCAATTTGCGTTGATGTAAATTAAAGGAGAAGATTCATACTTTCAAATGGCATAAACGTCATTTATCTATGAATTCTCGTTTACGCAGTATAATTTAACAAACATGATCAAACATTTTAGCACTTGACGGATTTCGATTTATACTCATGCAACATGGCAAAAATTAATTACGCTTTATATTTAATAATATATTTGAAATTAGAAACTTATATCTATAAAATGCTTCCAGAATCACCTCGTTACTGTTACTTTTGCGAAAGTTACAACTTTTACAAACTGTAACCGTAGGAAAAGGTTCTTTCATGCTCATACTAGTCATATTTTATTTATTTATTATATATATACTTTTTCTCTTTTATTAATATTTAAAGTAATTATTTCTTAAATTTTTCGTCACATCCTTTGTGTAAAATAAGCAGATATCATTCCACTCCGAATATCAGAAGGTTTGTTTTTCGTCCCTGCACTGCTGAACTGATGCAATAAGTTAGAGCGAGAAAAAATATACTTGTCTCATTCTAACTTATTGCACCAATTCAGCAATGCAGGAAGAGAAAACAGACCTAGAGGTTCTATTTCGCGTTAAACGTTAACGCTAAATCGACTCGATTGATCTAGCTTAAATAAAACATGAAAGCGTAGTGTTAACGTCAGCGTTTGTGGAGTGTTAAGAGCGGTTGACAGCTGTCGATGTCAGTCGTGTCCATCATCACGCATTATAAATCAAGTGGAACTACTCCTGCTTCTCAACATTAATATTTAGGATGTTTCTGAACGATTTTTTCCTACAATTCGCTCAATTATCAACTTAAAATAACGTCTATACATGTTGATTAACTAATGGGGAACGAGAAAAGTGCCCTACGTGGGCTCGAAATTGAAGACAAGGCTGTTGAGGTTACGGATTACTGGATGCATTATGATGCGAGTATACATGACTCTAGTCTTCAAAAACTATCAATATTTATTAGTGAACCCTCTTTACACTTTACCGCGACATTTGGGAGGCCATCACCATTGGAACGAGCAGCAAAGGTAGATTTTTACTTGGTTGTTAAATAGAATTAATGCGATAGTGATTCTATATATTTTACTTAAAAGAATGCAAGAGGCAAATATTTCTTAAACTAATAAAAATCTTATGTTTCTTGTAATAAATTTCTTTTAAGTACAGTAATAAATTACCAATTGTAGTTTATGCATGTTATAAAAAATAAGAAATATGTTAAAGATAGATTATCCATGATGCTTATGTTTTAGAATTTCATGTTATACCGACATCCTTGTATATTGAAGTATATCTCCTCCTGGAACAAAGGTAGTAAGTTTTTCCTTGCTACAGAAGAAGCTAGACCATTAATTCAAGTGATTGAAAAGCAGAATATACTGCAAATATGTATTGGTTTGCATAGTATCCTGCGAGCTTTAATATTCCTACATGAAACTGCATTGGCATCACATAATAATATATGTAGCAGCTCTATTTATGTTACCACAGAAGGATACTGGAAATTAGGTGGATTAGAATGTCTATGTAAGTTTGCAGATGCAACATCAACATACTATCAAAGAATAAAGAGTTACAGGTATGAAAGGGGCATATCGCCGAATGAAGACATAGCTGACTTAGCTAAATCTTCTAATCTTGCTGCGATTGATTCATATGCATTCGGAGTACTGGCAGAAGATATCTTGAAAAATTTACAAGCTACAGGTATACAGAAACGGAAAACTATGACATAACATATATTGTCATTCATATAAAATACTTAAAACTCTGTATCAAACGATTTTAGATGAGGCACCAAATCTGTTGGAATTTAGAGAATTCTGTAGAAAAAATCTACAGAATCCAGATGCATGTCTGAGAAGCAGCGTACTGAGTGTACTGCAACATTCTTTCTTCACTCATGAGTTCATAAGAATACATGCATTCCTAGAAGAATTACCATTGAAAACTGATGTAGAAAGAGAAGAATTTTTCACGTGGGTCACTTGAAGGAGAATATAAGTATCTTCTATGCAGTATAGAGTATGTAAGAAATACAAAATTTTTTATAGGACGTTAAGGCAACAATTACAGTTGTATCCTGAAGCTGTCGTTGCTGAACAACTTGGCAGAGTGCTTCTCTCCAGAATGGTTTTGTTGGATGGTACTGCTCAAGTGAAACTTTTACCTTTCATCTTTAAACCCAAAGGTGAGAGAACACTTATACTGCATCTATAAGATTTTAATTATCTCTGTTCAAACAGCTTATCGACATATCTCATGTAAGAAATAATTTAACAAAACGTTCAATATTTGCAGATGAAAAGAACGACTTAGGAACTAGTCTATTTACAGTTTCTACCTTCAAAAGTATTTTAGTACCAAGGCTCTTGCAGATGTTTTGCATTCGAGATGTATCAATTCGTCTGCTGCTGTTGTCCCACTTCAACTCATTCGTACATGTATTTGACATGGACGAACTGAAAAGCCACATTCTTCCCGAATTACTTGTCGGTATAAAGGATACTAACGACAATCTCGTTTGTGCCACATTGAGAGCATTGGCCGATGTTGTACCGATCTTGGGTGCAGCGGCAGTTATCGGTGGTAATAGGGGAAAATTATTTACGGACGGTCGACCGAACAAAACGATGACTCGAAATACAAACCTCGGCGATATCAGCAAGGTTTTGACGTTGACCAAAGAAATACAGAACGTCTACGTGAATATAGATGAGAATGACGTACATTTATCAGAAAGGCCATCGCCAGATGGCGGCGAAGATAAAAGAGAAAAGGAATTTCCATTTGTTGAAGAGGAATCCTGGTCAGATTGGGAAGCACAAGAGGCAGTTGGGACCAGCCACAGTCAAGTAGAAGAAGCTCCTTCTGATAACGTGCAGACGGAACCGCAGAATAATACTGGCGACACAGACTTACCCTCTCCTTTATCAGAATCTTCGTCGAATGCGAAAAAGACAAATTATACAAAGAAACTGGTAATTTCGGACATCACGGAGCTTGATATAAAGAACTCGAAAACGATAAAATGTCCGAAGGAAGAATTTGATTTTTTCACGGATATGGAACCTGTGATAAAGAAGACACAGATTTTACATATTGAGGAGACAGAGTCACCCAAAAACATGTTCGACGTAAGAACATCGAATGTCACCTCAGAGGAACACGATGACAATGGCTGGGGAGAAGATTTGAGCGATTTGAGTATAGACGATACTCATGTCGACTCTGCAATATAGTGAGTTGCCCTGTAAAAAAAGAGAAAGAGAGGGGTACTCTAAGCGCTTAAACTTTTGTAATATTTCAAACGATTAAGCGCTCAACAACTTTTGTAAGATTTTGAATTTACTATTGATGTTGCACAAAAATGACTGAGCTCATTTAGTTGTATTCATTTTTATTGACGTCCAATCAGTATATATGAATTCATCGATTCATATATACCGTATTCCATGTATACCGTCACAAAGTATTTTTAATAAAAATCAAATATATATGTTAGAGTCTGGTATAGTATTCTCCAATATTTTTTGCAGAGTATCCTAAAAAACTTCTTTAAAAAATCTCGTGAATAAACACAGTAGATCTGTTTACCCAGATTTTAATGGACAGATTATGTAGATTTTATGTATATTTTATGTAGATTTTTGTACACACGCATATAACAACGTTAAAATAATTATTCTTTACCCAAGAAGTTACAATGTTAATCGATCGATTTATTAATAATCTCTGAAAATATCTAGGCGTCTCAGTGGACATAATGATAAAACTGATTCTCAGATATTTTTCTCGATAGATAAAATAACAAGGAAAGCATTACTGGCGATACGAGATAAACATGGATTCAGATCGCTATTAATACAATCTCGTCCTTTCCCTCGTGACGGTTAAAATCAGAGTACGCGTGTACTCGAATAGACATCAGAATGTATCGGACGCTTGCGATTGCGCATCGTGCGGAATGTTAACGTTCGTCCACGACCATTGTTTGCGGTATTATGAATCGTGAATATCAACAAACGTCGATCGTATAAATACGTAATCGGTTCCATTGCCCGTTGATCGCTCGATCTCTTCTTCACTTGCTTCGTACAGATCCAGAGTTCCTAACCTATGCGCGCAATCGCTCGCGTGTATCTCGCGTCCATCGAAAGTCGAGCTTCGTGACCGGTTGAAGTTCAATCCCCGGTAACACAGTCCTCGAGAAAGGATGCGGAACAACGTGGACGAACTGCTAGACGAGGAGCATTGGCGCGTCGAGGCGCAGGCGGTGATTAACGACGTGAAGATGCACGTGCAAAATATAAAAGTGTCGGAGCGCTTGACTAGCACCAACAAAGTCATCTATTTAAACCTGACCACGCTGGAAGGCTTGCGGCTCTGCGTGGAACTGTCCGCCTCCGGTTTCACCATCGTCGGTAATCGGTACGACGACGTATCGAATACGAACAACGAGCATTTCGAGACGCCATACAGCTTGCTGGAATACGTCAGCCCGCGTTACAGGGAATCCTTCGGCTTGTCGCTGTTGAATAAGCTGAAAGACCTGAAGAATCAGCAGTAGGACTCATTTGCAGACGGGCGACAAAGAACAGTGGAGATCGTGCTCGAGGATGCTTCCTTAGATAATGGTCTATACAGTTAACTGAACTATTTATACAGCTCTCTCTCCGTATTAATTAATGTGTGTGAATCGTACAATAAATATATATAATTTTTTAGAACTCTGTTTATAATTAGTGCGACAAATGGGGTAGGATACAGCTATTTATGAAGTAACCTTTTCGCTGTCTGGCACAACGGTGATCTCGCGGAGCGTCGATTTCGTCGTTTCCTTCTTACGTACGACGGCTCTTGTATATTTTTATCGCCTTCCGCGAAGCAATTTTCTGATACTCTTGCTCTAATCAGTGGCCTTACAGACGCGCTACATTACGCAGTATGACGCATGCTTATTGCTTTGTTCTTTCGACATACCTACAATGTGATTTTGTATTTGAACATTTCTGTTTAAAATAATGAGTGTAAAATGGCAACCTTAACTTAAATTTAACTTAAATTTCAATCTTAATGAGACGAATCAATAAAAGATAATGATTGATCTACAGTGACCTTCAAACAATAATGTAATCTCATTGTTTTGTATCTATCATTTTAAGCAAGGATGTAGTATCACATCAGTAGTGAAAACATGAAAAATGCATTTCATCAAACTTTAATAGAATAAGAACCATAGTGCACTGATACAATTCACATATGGATTCATATGTGGATTTTTGAGAATTCAATCACAGTAATAAAAAGTAATATTAGATCACAGTAATAAAAAGTAATATTAGTAATATTAAATAATATTTAGATTCGACATAGCCTGTATATAACTTTTCTATGTTCCAAGTAGTATTTGAGCGTTTGGACTCTATTTATGTTTTCAAAAGACATCTTTGCAATTCAGATTTTACTGTCGCACGCAAACATTTTTTTTTGTATCGCAGGACTGAAATATCTCAAATGAATTCTATTTTTCGTGTGTTACATATACACGAAAAACAATTTTATTTCACTTACAATTTGCTGCATATCTACTGTATATCTCGAACAAAAATGGAAATCATTTCAGGTTAACGTGAAAATAGTGAAAACTCAGCTAAATTATACCAATTTCGACCAAAGAGCGCATCGCGTGCGCTTTACTATACCTTTCGTGGAGTTCGTTTATTTCGTGGCGAATCGTCTCCTTAGAAATAAATCAAGTATCCTCTATAATTTACCTTCATATCTGCAATGCTCGCGTTACTACGAAGGCGACCTTGTAATTAACGCGGTAAGAAGATTCAAGTGTCTGTCATTAGAATTTTGCAGACTCACGTAGTCTACGTTGACATGTCGGTCTATACGTAACAGTGCATTAATATTAATAAATTATTCAAGTGTGTGATTATTTGCATTGCTAAGGCATTCTTGGAATTAATCAGTGCTACCTGACTGTACCGCCTCAATCATATTTTTTATTCTGGTACAAAGTGTATCAAGTGCACTTTGCCACATTGGCCACGAACTGAGTGATGCTAGATTGTGGCCAGACGAATTATCTGAGTATCCAGAATCAATTGATAACGAGCGCCCCTTCCATCAGGGGCGGCGCAAGGAACTATCAACGTCCATCTTTAAACAGCTTCTGCAGATCTATGGACACTTTTCATGAGAAAAACACGGAAAAGAAGAATTCCTGCTTCACGGAATGAGCAGTGTTCGTTTGCGAATCTTTAATTAGGCTGGTTTGATAATAATCGGCAAGTTAATTGGTAAGTTACTTTGTACGCATATGTATACATACCGACTTGCGCATCTTAGCCAGTACAGGCGAAATTGTCATGAATCGGCGTCAATAAGGGTTAGAATCAAGAACCGTTAGTCTTCCTCGCTTGAATTTGAACAATTTGTTGCACACTAACAATCTTTCAGGAGCTGTATTCGAACGCTAATATACGTCTTTCCGATTCTCAAGCAGAAACATCTTTATACGAGACGCTTGTTTAAGAAAAATAGAACTTGGACGTACTTGGACGCGTATGAATACGCGTAAAGAATGTAACCCTAGGAACCATTAGAATTGAGATAAAAGATAATCCGAAGACGATTAAAAAATAAGCACAAACGACTTTTACAGAAATGCACTTTCGCGGGAATTTTGTTGCCGTTCACCGTGATGCGCTCACACATTCAGAAATTAACGAGATAACTTAAAATTAACCATATTAATGATCTTTAGACCGATGTTATCAACGTTTCCGCGACAATCTATAACTTTACGTTGTTTTTTAACACTTCAGGAGTCACGGAATGTTAATTAAGTCCGCTTTGACTTCTCATATTCCAAGGCTGTAAATCACGCACGACTAGGAACGACACGACTTGGAGGTAGCTGGTAGTGGGATTTAACTCCGACGAGTCAAAAGTGAAACGTTAAACGTATGATAACTAATTCAACGCAATATCGATATTTATCTCGACTTCGCCTTTGAGAATAGAATCGCGGTCTCTGGGAGAGACGACGGGGTCTCCTCGGTGAGAGATCAAACACGTCACGTAGGGCGACGAGACGCCAGTAGCCGTTCCTGTGGCCCCCGATGCACCGGCAGTTTCTCATTGCACAGCAGCGCGGCGCGACACGGCGCGGCCAGTCTTCGTCAATCGTGTCACTCGGTGCGTTCGCTCGTCGGGTTCGAAGAACCCGTTGGTGAGCGTATCCGCGAGTGGGTTCGTCTGTTGGACCTGTGAGAACGTGCGCGAGTTGTGAGCGACGAGCGGAGACGACTTTTTGGACCGCGCGAACATTGTGCGACGTTCCCGTGTGTATCGCATACGTTACCGATGTCGAGATCATTCGACGAACGATGACACGCCCGCAGCGACGACAGTCGCGGACAGCCGAGCCGTTGTCGTGAGCGAATGCTTGCGAGGACTGCTCCACGAGGACGGCACATCAGTTTCCAACGAGGCCGAGAACGACAACGACGGCGACGACGGCGGCGGCAACCGCGACGACGACGACGACGACGACGACAGGTGGTGAAATAACGGCCAAGTTGGGCCGCTTGTCGATGCTGCTGTTGCTGCGATTCGAGCAGTGTTCCGCGGACACATCACGTTCGTGCGTCCGACGTCGCGTAGAGGCTACCGCGGGACACAGCAACGAGGTGAGCGACGGTGAAGACGATGGCGCGGAGTTGCGCGAGCGCGAGTAGCTGGCGTCGCTCTTTCGCCGCACGCTGCGGACGAGAAAGTTTCATCTGGGTGACCGCGATGTTATTTAACACACACGCATAGTTCGACGACACCGCGCTCGTTTTAACGTAAAAGAAGCGTTGTCACAGTTCCCTCGCGATGGCTATCGCGGAAGAACTGCGCGTGTGAGTCAGTCCTCGCAGGAAGAGGCGTAGTTTGACAGCTGCGAAGCGTGCCGCCGCTTCGCGGATCCTGTATTCTTGTCACGCGTTTCGCGCGGAACGTGCGGAACTCACGCCCGTGTTTACCCGCGTCGTGATACGCGTTAGTTGAAAACGCGAATCGTGGACAGTCACATTTAGCTGCTGGTTGCGGCAATGTCACTCGGCGTGCGCCATGCACCGTGCTAAATTTAATCCCGTTATCTGTATTATAGCTAAGGGTTATATACATGTGTGTGTGTGTGTATGTGTTGTGTGACACGGATAGTTAGCGTTGCGATGATAGCAAGGGGCAACTAACTGCAGAGTTAATTAACACGTAACACTATCGACGCTTCTTACATCGAGTAGCTTTGATTTCTTCTAATGCCCGATTTTATTAACGTCGATCAAGTCTTAATCTCAACTTAAACTGTCTTTAGCAAAGACAAACTCAAAGTTTAATCGACATTTGAGGATATTGATGGAACCAGACTTGAGAGAATCGGTAGGTGAATTGTAATTGTTTCTCGTTTTTAATTGCATTTGGTCATAGATATGATAGAAGATCCTTAGTTACACGCTGACTAAGCATGGTTTGTGATAAATTGCTTATTTATTTTTAAAGACCAAACAGAAAAAGAAAAACGAGTGATCAAATTTAATTTGTTATTTTTCATCGTAACGTTTGCAGAGGCGAGGCGCGAGGTGTAGGAAAAAAGAGTCCAAGGAGTGATGAACCATGTTAGCGAGGTCGACATCGTTGCCACTGACCGATCCTACGAACGCGGACGTTATTAATACAGACCTGTGTGTTTTCCATCGATACTGCCTACCACACGTTACTTCGTGTTCGCCCAACAGGCAACCGCGCGCACAAACGAAATTGCGCTCTCGTCCCTGCAGGAGCGAAGTCCAAATGCTATAGCCTTTGCTCTCGAGTTTTCGCCGTGAAAGTAACGTCGTCGCATCGAACGCGTTCTGCGAACGAAAATCACGATGACGATGTTACAGCTCCGTTTCATGCGCTCGTGATTGTTACGGCTACGTCGCGGAACGTGCGTGCGTACGTGCGTGCGTCGTGCGTGCGTGCAGACGTACGGTGTGCGTGTAGTAGCGTTTCGTGAATTTACCCGGCTCGGTACCCGCTCGGGATCCTCACCGATACTTTCGCCGACCACGTAATCAACAAGTTCGACTTCGTCCTGTTACATCGCTCGGCGTACAAACAACAAGAGCAGGTTCTTTGTCACTTGGATGATAGCTCTAAAGAGCGTCGTGAAATTCAGCCACTTGTTCCTGGTTGAGACGTTCACGTCGCATCTCGTACACCGTCGTAAATATAGCGTAACATTTTCGTCTTCAATCAATTTCTCCCATTTTTCTCGTAAAGCTGTCTTAAGTCTGACATTTTAGGCAATTCGCTGGTAATTGCACGAACGGGATGAATATTGAGTCTTGGAAGGACTTGTATCATTTGGACTATAGTCGTCAGTAATGTCATGTCATTTACTACGTGTTCTTAGCTCCAGATCAGTGTTGGTTGTAGCCATAGTTATGATAATAGCAATGATTCATCAGTTAAGAGATTGAGTTAAAGGTAGTGATACGACGTAGAATTGAGAGAAAAGACTTATACATTTTTTCTTCCACTACTATGAACAATTGAGGAAGCCAATTTTAACAGATCTTACATGGCAAAGATTCAGTATTAATTAGATACTTTTGCTATATTTGTGAATACTTATGATTGGAGAGTTATGTTGTATATGCTACTAATTATTGAATATCATCAATATTTTATCTGTCTTAGTATAATTTTAAGACTTTTTGGAAAGTTTATATATCTTGGATTTTTAATGTGTAAATGAAATTAATGTAAATAGAAGCATATAGTACCTTTATGCATTTCATTTGTTTTACATATATTGAACACAACCAAAATAATTTTACTGCAGTTTAAATGCATCTGTATTACTCTTTATGTGACATATTCTACATTCTATATTTAGATCTAGTCTCAATCCAAGCTCAATGTATTTAAAGTATAAATTAGATAATGTAACCTGTTAGAGAAAATTACTGCCTAAGATAGATACACAGGGATCTAACATAGTGCAGTATTTATCCCATAACTTATTATGCTTCATATGCTCTATCTTTAATAACAGAAAATACTAGAGGATATTAATGTATAACATTTGTAATATAAAACTAGTCTACAATGTTGCATACAAAGGTAATACTAAAATTAATGTATAAAATCGGGACTGCTTGTCTCATCACTTGTGCTTCATTCTCAGGAAATGTTCATGGATTAAGATAAACCTCCATATGATAAAGCTTATCATAGAGATATTTGATATTAGATCTTTATCTGATATTGTTATATGAGAAAACGTTTTGCTTGTGGAATGAATTGCCAATCTTCTCATCCCTGCTACTAATCACTAGGATCTTATATTTTACTTTGGACTACTTAAAGAGAGTAATCATAGATATGAATATTCGTTAAATATACATTCAAAGATGAAAAGATTACTTATAGAGATACTGCTAATTACAGCAATAATGTTCACAAAGCCATAATATCCCTTTGTACTCTGTAATAATCTTGTAATACATCATAATTTATGATGTGTAGGTTCAATCTGAACTTGTCAAAACAAAGTAGACAGATGACAACCTTCTCAGGACTAAGGTATGGCAAGCTTGATGGTGAACGCCTCTAGTAAGAATAGCTCGCGCAGTGGATCTCCTAGTAGAGCAACTTCGACGTCCCAGCTACACCAGCAACAATCAACAGGAAGTTTAGATCATACTCCACGATTGCGTAATGTTTCAATGTAAGATTCTATTAATACATATTAATGTAATCTATATATATATATATATATATATATATATATATATATATATATTTAAAAGTTAAAGAGATTATCTATATATATATATATATGATTACAAAGAGAGATAAAATTTGCTAAATGCATGTTGTTTAGTTCTCAAGCAGGAGAGAGTAGCACAGGCAGTGGAAGTAGTGGCGGTGGTGGTGCTGGAAGTGGTCTCGGTATGAAGGGCAGCAGTAGACAAAGATCACCAGGGACTTTAATTCGCATGGGAGATGCCATGGACGAACCAAGTAGTAATCCAAACACTGCCGAACCAGATGAGTTTGTGCCAAATATTCATCCACCAACTGATGACGAAGGAGTATGTGTTAAAGTATTTTCTGTTTTAAGAAGAATACATTAAATGCTTCGATTTTAATGAAATATAATAGAAGAATACATTAAATGCTTCGATTTTAATGAAATATAAGATAAGAGTTCACATTAAAAGTAGCCAGGAAAATTGTTACTTTGTGCGCTTAACGTATGCATTGAACATATAAAGTGACTTTGCATTCTTATATAAAGATAGTTACATAATGTACTGTCATTGTGCTATGAACTGGCATAATAGAGAAAATGCAATATCATCAAATGCAAATATGCAATTAAGTTGTAAGATTAAGAAGCAATGTAGCGGTTTGCATAATGTCTTTGACGACATTGCATCTATTTTATATTGAAACCTTAAAAACTTTGATTTTAATATATTTAATTTACAGGAACAATATCACACGACCCCATCGTTCCTATCGAATGGCTCCTCTGAACTGATCACCGATGATGTTGATTCTAGTACAGTGCGTGTTCGTCAAGCTATTGAACATATTCAGAGTAAAATTGCTAAGACGCGGGAGCAAATAAGAATAGAACAAACAACGCGGGATGGTATGTAAACATTTCTTAATTTAACCAACGCAGGTACGAATACACAGAAGCGAGAACATAGTTCATTATTATACAATCGTATTCTTCATTTATATCAAGTCATGACATTGTATTAACGCTATTATATTTATATGCATCGTTATGTATTTTGTTTGATTTAGAAAATGTCAATGAATATTTGAAGTTGGCTGCTAACGCAGATAAGCAGCAGTTAACTAGGATTAAAACGGTATTTGAGAAGAAGAATCAAAAATCGGCCCACAGTATCGCGCAGCTACAAAAAAAGTTAGACAGTTACACGAAAAAGTTGAAAAATTACGAGATGAATGGAGCACCTACTAGTCATAGGCAACCAAGGGAAATGTTACGGGACATGGGGCAAGGACTCAAGTGAGTACTTTAGATCACTTTAGTTTTTCATATTTAAAAGACAGTTTTTATAAGTTGTGTGTCAGCAGATAAACATTGAAATCAATATAGTTAACTAATTTGAATTTATATTTTAGAAACGTGGGAGGAAATATCAGGGATGGAATCACCGGTTTTTCAGGGTGAGTCTTCATACAAAAATAGATCCTATGTGCTCCAATACACTGGAAACCCTATTTTTATGTGGTTGATTCATCGTGAAACTTATTTGAAATGTGAATGTGTTTAAATCGTATTACAGTTAATATCGTAACATAAAATTATTTATAAAATTGTCTTGAAACTTGAGGAAAACATTAAATTTAACAATATTTTTATATAAAAAAATTGCATATACGTGCTTTATTTATTTGTAATCACATTATATTGCAGAAGTGTGATGTCTAAACCAAGAGAGTTCGCTCATCTTATTAAAAATAAATTTGGAAGTGCTGATAATATAAATACTTTATCACGTAAGTAATAAACAATAAATTTCTAACGAGTCTTATGTTATCAGAATTATGAAATATATCACCATAATAGGTTACATTCACTCAAATGTTACAGTGTTTAGTTGAAAAATTAGATTATATATTTAAAATACGCAATAATACATATATATTACGTTTATTTCTATTGAATTGTATATACATAAAATATAAAATTTTATAGAATCTTCTTACAATACAAATGACAATCTTTACTTATAATTTTTATTTTCAATATCAAATAAGCAAATAAAAATTTTTTAACATTTTTGCTATCATGGCAGTTGAGAGTAGTAAGTAATTTGTTGTCTAAAAAGCGAAATTTCTGTTACACTTTATTATATGCTTCACGCACAATATTTCTATTTTTTTTGTCAGCTGCTTCAAGCTTCTTATCTTTTCTTATTTTCTTACAAAATTCTTATTTTCTTTTACAAAATAAACGGTAAAATGATGTCTTCTTAATGTATTATCAGAAACTATCTTGTACACGCAATGCATAGTTTGTTTTCAACTGCTGCTTATTAAATTAAATTACATTTTTTTTTCACTTATATAATTTAATGCAAAACAGCTCTGACATAATCTCATGTGTGTTGCAAATATTCACTTAATATTACGTTATTATGTAATTTGTAGTGGTTTAATTAATATTTACCTTTCTTTACTTACTGTTGGTTATCCAATACTTATCAAAAATACAATGAAATAATTAACTATTTTGTGCAATTACTATTAATTTTGAAGAGAATATTTTTTATAGTGAGACAACTGCTTTTTAACCGTCATCTGAAGCAAAGAGTGATATAACCGTTGTTTAAGAAGACTGGATAACATAATAACTTGTGAAATAATATACATTATTTACTTCAAAAGGCCACGCTTTGGTATTGGATAACATTCTAACTTGCGACCTCTGTGTCTCTACAGATGGCTCGACTTTTTATGTAAACGATACACCGCGTGCAGGTAATGGTGATAACACTAGCGTTGAAGATGATAAAGCTCACCATGGATCGGCCACGCTTCCTGGTGGATGCAGTTTAGGATCTACCCATAGCGCAGCTGCTATAAAATTTCCATCTGAGGAAGGATCAGAATGTTCTAGCGTGACTAGCGAAAGCGGCCCAGGCAGTAGAGGACAGCCGCACACATGTCATAGTAATAACGCAGCCTTGAGTCTCAAATCTATTTTCTCAGAACTACAGGAAAACCGAGAAAACCTCGACCGAATAAGGGAAAAATTAGATAGCGTAAAGGTTTGTATATCGCTTGATGCATCCGGCATAAAATTTTAAGATTGTATAGTTGTAATAAAGAAGTGTATATAATTTCATGATAATACAATTGTACAGCTAATCTTTTTCTTTGTGTAGACGTTACAACAGGAGGTGACATATCTTTCCCATTCTCTCCAAGAGGAACGTTTCAGATGCGAACGTCTGGAAGAACAAATCAACGACTTGACGGAACTGCACCAAAACGAGGTGGAAAACTTAAAGCAAACTATCACAGATATGGAGGAGAAGGTGCAATATCAAAGTGAAGATAGACTGCGAGACATACATGAGATGTTGGAGAGTTGTCAAACCAAGATCTGTAAAATGGAACATCAACAGCAGCAGCACCAACAATACGTAACCTTGGAAGGCTTAGATAACAGCAATGCGAGAGCACTGGTTGTAAAATTGATAAATGTAGTATTAACAGTATTGCAAGTTGTTTTGCTTCTCGTTGCGACAGGTGCTGGTATCATGATGCCTTTCCTCAGAACTAGGTAAGGAGTACTATTAATTATTAAGATAATTCTCCGTTAATCTTTGTTTCAGCAGCAATAAAGTGTTTATTAATCTACGAAAATCTAATTATGTGATATTAACTATAATTTCTCTATATTTTATTTTTCTGTTTCCACTCATCTTCATACTACAACCCGTAATCACTCATCCACAATTTAATTTCGCACATTCATTATTCTATTTTGTTTTCACGTGTCTGTTACAGCTGTACTAAGCCTCATTGTTTCATGTGCAGGGTGCGCATATTAACAACCACGCTCGTTGTGCTGGGCATAGTATTTGTGCTCAAACAGTGGCCTGAGGTACATGACGTTGGTAGTCATCTTATGCGCTATCTTAAGCAGACCCTCGCCATGAAGTAGCATTGTGAGTGAATGCAATTTTTACACATAATTCTTTTGATTGAGAAATTTCATTTGACGCTGTTTTTTTTTTTTTTTTTTTTGAAATATCAAGTAAACTCAGATATATATTCTGAGAAAACAATGTTTCTTTCAGGGTGGAATACTTAAATTTAATCAAACCCTGTGATGAAGCTGGGCTATCGGACACATTGATCGAAACTTCGCATCTGTTTATCAGTGTAGTAGGATTGGAGCAATAATAGTATGTATACGTGTAAATAAGTTTATTTATATCTCTTGAGTTGTTTAAATTATCATTATATTATCATCATTATCATAAAAGTAATATATGTATTTTTGATACTATTATTTAAATCGCGACAAGACTATATTTTGCCGTAGAGAACCACTTGACTTTAAAATTATAATTTATACAAGTTGTCATATATATTTGTTTTATAATTTTCATGTCTTATCATTTTGAACCGACATTAGTCTTGTGTTTTATAATTGTGATTAGCAATCTATAGTGCTGGGCATTGAGAAATTCTTCTATACTATGGAAATGCGAAAAACAATTCAAATTCCGTGTACCGCTTTAATATACATGGCATATTTTTTATTACGA